GATATATCACTGATGGGGTGTGATTGCATATTATTTGTTACGGGGGTGAAGCTGTTGAGTCAAATCCGCCTATACGAGATCCTTCTAAAATTCAACATTTAAAAAATATAAATTGTATATTGATTGTTTTATAAAAAATTTTTAATGCATTTATAAAAAGTTTTCCGCCGATTGCATAATTTCTAATTTCTAAATTTAGGCTTCTGTTATTGCATATCACAAGTCCGGACAATTTACAATTATTTTATTTTAATGATCTACATACACCATAACGAAAGTGATTTAATTGCTACACCAATAAAAGGATGCTGAAAAAGGTAAAATTTTGTCCGTGATCGCTACGCAATTTAATATACAACATTGTATAATTTCACCTATAGTATCAGACGGGAAAAAGGGTAAAAATCTTCCCGAGTTAAACAGATGTAAATTTTATCTGATTCAAAACATTTATTAATTTAAAAATACTTTTTTTGTCCCTTTTTGAAATAAATAAAAATTTAAAATAATAAATAAAAATATCGCAGAAAGGAATTTGTGATTTTCTGAATTTTACGGGTATGTTTAGTTTTTTTTTCCTTGGTTTTATGAAATTTTTTAGATATAAGCATGGTTCAAATCAAAAGTTCATCAAAACTTACTTACTACTCCTGTTAATAAAATATATATATATATATATATATTCGCCATGAAATTTTCCATAATAATTGCAATCGTCTTTGGCCTATTATCGATGACGCTCACGCTCATTGAAGGTAAATTTGAATGATCATGACAAAATATTTAAATATTTTTATAAACATCTGCTCTAATAACTTTATATATATTGGTTCTATGAAATAAATAAGCTCATACCGTGTGGATACATAACAAGGTAGCGGTTGGTACACATACACGTGTTACTGCCGCCAAAGATCGGAACGGCAAAGGATTCTCCACCGATGGTAATTGGGCTCACAAAGGTTATTCTTTGAATATCCCTGATGATGTAAAAGCATATTGGCTCGGTTTCAATGTTTATGACTCTTTTGAAGAAGATAAATGGCGTGGCCCAATCACTAATGATGGGGATAAATGTTATCACTTTCATGGTACTTTAGAAAATTGGGACATATATGAATGTTAAACCAATTTTTATCCGCTGAGCAGCAAAATGATTATTCATTATTATTATTTTTTTAATCATTTCTTATATTATGTCCATTCATTTAATTCATTTTATAGTCATAACTTAATAATTTTCCAATTTGGCACCTCCATATAGGTTATAATAATGATAATTAGAAGAATCCCTTAAATAGATATAATTATTACTTTATTTCTGCTATATTTTAAAACTTTATTTATTTGATCGTAATTTTCTCCGGTATAGATTAACTACCTTAAATATCACAAAGTTATAATAATTACGAGTAATTGATATGATACAAATAAACAAATTGATTTAAATTTATCTTTTTTTTTTATGATCAAGTAACGCAGTAGTCAACTGCATGCGCATAACCTTTTTTACCAAATTTTTTTTTAAAAAAACCTTTGTTACCAAATTAAAACTCCCCTAAATATACCATCCAGGCAAAAGTATTTATAAATATAAAAAAATTATATGAAAATGAAATATTATTTGACATTCTAAGTATATAATTGACAAATATTTCAAAATATGCGGTAATTCAATAATTAATTCTTTATATAAACAATTAAAATAAAGAAATTTATTTGATTAACGGTCGGAGAAAGTGATTTAACCCTTTGCAAAAAATGTAATTAATATGTGATATCAAATGAGGCACAGAACTGGTCATATTGGAATTGAAACAGGCTACACTCAAAAAATAACCGAATCGCTCGTAACTTCTCATCCATAGTTTGAAAGAGTATTGGAGAAATACATATTGTACAAATTTTCGATCTTTTTGAAAAAGAAATTTTTATCCATTTGATCAGGGTTTCCGTTGAAAATAAAACTTCGAATATTTTGTTTGCAAATAAAATTCAAATATTCGAAATTATATAGAATACTCAAAAATCATCAATTTAACCGAAATAGAAAAATAAAATTTACAATTAAAATTAAATTAAAAAATACTTATCCAATCGAAGAATAAATTAAATAATGAAAAAAAAACAAATCAGTCGAAACTTTCAAATATTTGAAATGATATGTGAATTTCAAACGGAAACTTTAGCTTAAATTACAGACACAAAATATTTAAGAATTATATCGATATAATCGAAATCATGGATTATGAGGAATTCTATTTAATTTATGCTGAAAATCGTGCACTTTTGAAGTAAATTTCTTTATTTTCTAATGGATCAAGAATTAAAGATTTTTCTTTTTTTTTGACTCATTGTAGGTGATATTTTGGGAACTTTTTCCCGGTTGATATTTACAAAGGCAGTCATATTAAGGGTGCTATTAAGGAAATAAAGGATACTCCCGCTATTAAGTATTGAAACCAGGACAGCTCACTATCAAACCTTTTTCACCAATGACCCAAAAGGGTCAATATCCGCAACTGTCCGCCACCACTGCTAAGTTACTCACCTCTCGATTAGAAATTTTTGGTCATTAAATCAATTTCTATATTCACCCTCTATATATCACCCCTTCTCTTTAGTCACAAAATATTTGGTATCACCCTATAGGATATTGTTACACTAATTAAAAAAAATTATTAAAAAAAGATTTTAAGAAAAATTAATTTAAAAAAAATTTTATTAATTATAATTTTAATAGTGTTAAGAAAATAAATAAAATTAACTTTTCTTTAAAATTGTAAAAAAAAAAGGTATTTTCTAAGAAAAAATTTTTTTTATATTTTTTTGATTGATGTTACCGGCTATAAAATTTAACCAAATAAAGTTCAACAAATACTCTTTTGCTGGATGGAGCTAATCTATTAAAATCAGGTTACGGGACCCCATATATATAAATTAGAATAAAAGATAAATAAAAAGATAAATGAAAGGTTAAAGCATTTATTAAACTATTGTTTATTTTAATTCACATGATTGGTGGTAATGAAAATAATCATGGTAAATAACTTAGTTATACTCAATAACTTATTTGCACGTCATTTTCGAGCTACATACGCAATTTCGGGCATAAAATTAAAAAGTTATGTAAAGGATTGAGAACATCAAATACTTTCTGAATGGTAAGAGCAAAAGTCCACGAAATATCTATCGTTCCATTGCTGTTGATGTTTGGATGATAATTCTTGTTATTAATTTTATTTTTAGTGGTTCAAACGGATAATCAAAAGGAAATTAATGACAAGGGAGATCATCCCAATAGGACCCATCACAATACGGTGTTGAATTACGCTCTATATAGCAGTGATGGTCAGTGACCCAAATGACCTCAAATGACTCAAATGACTAGTCACGTGTCATTTGGGTCATTTTGGCA